ATACAGCATTGGTTCCTCTTCCCTGTTTCCAGCTGCTAAATTGCATGAAAAGGATGGATAAATGCTAACAATATATTCAGTGCTTTTCTAATGGATTTTTTCCAGATAGACAATTGTTGTAGTTCTTATAGGAATACTGTGGGGTTGCAGGTGGAAGAGAAGGTGTGATCTGTGAGATGGCATCCAAGCTGGGAAGTGGCAGAACCTCTGCATGCCTCTATTCAGTTGGGCACTCGTACATTACTCATGATCCTTGCTGGTACACACTTTGCTAATCCCCTTCCCTTTAATGTGCACACAATTTGGCTACCTCACCCCACTGACCACAGAGGGGATTCTTACCTGTCCCAGGCTTCTCCTTCCTTAGTGTGTTGTGAAAGGAGGGTGGAACCGGGCTGCTGCACCCTGCTGTTCATCAAAGCAGGGCTGAGATGCCTCATGTTAGAATGAAGTCTCATAGAATATCAGTGTATAAAGGAGTGTTAAAAAAAGGATGTCGCTAGCCTTGTCAAATGGGTTCAGTTAGGGCTTGCCTACATGGGAAAACTGATCAGGGCAGCTCCTGCACGATAAACCATCCCAGAAAAGCTGCTTGCCTGGACTCTAAATAAAAGCCACACTAATTGTGCTGGGCAAAAGTGACTTCTGGCAAAAATAATCCATCTCCCACAGTCCTTTTTCTGGAATAGCTGTTATGAAATAATTTATTCTGCAACAGCAAAAGCTGCAGTTTTCTCTCAGACCAGCTGTACATAGTGCACAGTCCTTGCCCGTTTATGCTTTCGCTTATTCCGGGCTTTGCAGAGTTCAGAGACTGCAGTGGGTCTCCATCTTTACGAGGCTGGTTTCCTTTGTCCTACAGGCTGGTCATGCTGCCCAGGCCATACTGAGGCATCACTGAGACAAAGACAATCCTAGGGACCAGCACCCTGGGACTGAATGTGCAACAATACCTCCCTTCTAGGAGAAGCCAGGAGTGTGACCCTTCTGCTTGCCCTGTATGGAAGGTCCTACTTGGAAAATACTCCACAGCCTCCCCCAGCTGCCGTCTTGTTGCCATGAGAAACACTGTGCCATGTTCTTGTTCATTAGCCCTGCTTCCTCTTCATGTGCAGCAGCCACGGCTGAGGGCATGACGCATCAAAGACTCCACATCCTGGAAACGTGGCTACAAAGATCCCTCATTGACCAACACTAACCTTGTCATGCAGCGCTTTTCCTTGGTAGCTCTCAAAGCACCTTACCAAGGAGGGCCTGCCCCTCCTCTTCCCATCCGTGGTTCTCAGGGAGCATTTCTTCCACGTCGTATCCCTTTCCCAGGAACACTAGAGGTACTTTCGACGTGAGAGGATCTGCACAGAGAATTGCATCCTTCACATGGCAGTGAATCAGCTCATCCCTTGTGCTACAGAGTGAGGAAGAGTCTTCATCCCTGCTACTCTTCAGGGTGATTGACCTTCATGTGAATCAACCTACAGTTTCCTTCTGCAAAGAATAGAGAATGGTTATTTGTTTCCCTCCTGCTCTTCTGATCTCCCAAAGTCCCAAGGAAAGTCATGCAGCTCAAGCTGAGACGGCTCTGTGTGCCCTCATTCTCCAGCTTCACGAGCTCTCCCCTTCCCACCTGATCCTTCCTCAGGGATCTGAAATACTCTCTCAACTCTGTCCAGACCGCAGCAGTTTGTTCTCAAAATGTGGCGTCTGGAGTCTTCAACAATTTGCTGTGGCCTGTCTTAAATCCAACCCTTGCACAGTCTGGAGACTGGCAGCTTTCAAAGGTAACCTACCCAGCAGTCATTGTAGCCAATCACAAAGCATGATTCTACCCTACGGAGTGCAGAGATTGGCAGGCAGGTTGCAGGGGTGCAAGCGGGGTCTGGCAAGCCACCCAGCGAACCTCATGAAAGGGCTGAAGCCAGAGACCACTTTTAACTCCTGTCCAACCCGTAGGTGCATTTTTATGTCTTTGTGGCAAGGACTGCTGGCAGAAATCTGCTCTATTAAGGCTGCAGAGTCAGTGAGAAACGTTAGCTCTTTTCTGCTGCAGGCAAGAATCCAGCAATGTCATGGATGTGCTGCACAAGCTGCTGAGCTAAGTGACAAACTGTGCAAACACTACAGGGAAAAATTAGTTTTTGTGGCTCTTAAAGCATCTCTGCCAGTGGGCGCTGCCAATAATAAATTCTTACCTCGGCAGAGCAAGGGAAGCTGTTACTATACACTCTGGGCTGCAGCCTGCTGCTAATCAATTTGAATGCAAACAGCATTTGGCTTAAAGAGCAAAGGAAATGAGCAAAACAGAAGAGCTCCCAACCCCACCTACTAACTGCTGGAACACCGAGCCCTAGAAAAAGACTCTGCTCCAGCAGGAGATGGGAGCCAATGCACTTTGACTCCTCAAGAGCAGAAGGGGCCCAAGTCTTTCACTTTCCTGCTTTGCCTAATATAAATCACCATGCGAATGCAGAGCGGTATTAATAATCGACGGAAGACAACTTCCTTCCTATGCGAAATCACAACCTCCAGCCAAGTGGCCTCCCAATGCCAGTTCTAGCTGCTTCATTACTAGAAAGCAGCAAGGTTATGATTCGAATAAAAATGTTACTGGAATAGTACTGGCCTGTTGCATTCCTGCAGTGTGGCGGGGCCGCTGCCTGCAATTTTATTATTTTTTGCACCTAGTTCTCTATTCCTCAACACTGCTTGCAGTGAAAAGTGTTCCTTCTTAGCCCCAACTTCCCACATATCTTGTTGACTTTGTCTTTATTTTCTAGAAGGAATGTTACACGTTACAGATTTCACCTACAAGCTTTGGAAGAAGAAAGAGGGAAGTGAGAATTTTGAAATGCCGTATCATCTTCATCATGGGAAAAATCAAGCTGGCAGTTTGGTGGTAAACTTTGCTGGACTGTGCAGGTGACTGGGGGACAGGAGCGGAGGGACTGACCTTCTCCATGGGAAGTTCTGCAGGGCAGAGTTCATAAGAGGCTGAAAGTGTATGTTTTTCCTTTTATATCCAAGGTGATGTAAGCATTAAAAACTCATGAGCCAGGGCACAACCATGTAAAAAGCAGCATCATCTGCCACTGGACTCAATGGGCCTAATTCTTGTAGTCATTTACACTGATCTAAAATGCTACCATGTCCATATAAAAGTGTTCCACCCTGACAAAGCAAACGGGGGGCAAAATACTACTATAGTGATACAGCAGCTTTTGCCACCAGTGTAAATGGCTCCAAGAGGTGCCAGGCCCTGGAGACTAAGCCCCACTTGAAAAGAGTATATTGAATAGCCCACCTGATTAGAGGCCATTAAAAACCCAACTATGTAGCTCTCATTCACGGTGAATACCTGCCCATGAGTTGTCCCAATTTAAATGATTAATCAAGCAGGTTAAGAGTGGAAAAATCAGACCAGAAGTGAGCACTGCAACCAGGATAGTTATACACACCTTGGGTTTGGTCCACTCAAGCTGTTGTTCTCCTACTTAGTGTTCCAGATCATGTAGATACAGTCCTGCCGGGTTCCTGAGGTGGTGTTAATCCACTGGCCTTTGGAAACCCTTCCTTTCAAATGAATCACAGGACCAGAGGGCTGGAAGGGATGTCAGGGGTCATTTGGCCCAACCCCTGCACCATCTCTGCTTTTGACAGTTGTCATCCTGCTATCAAATCTCCTTTCTATCTTCTCTTCTCCAGGCTAAATAATCCTAGTTCTTCCAGCCATTCTTTGTAGGTCATGTTTCCTACACCTCATTTTCAGTGTTCTCCACTGGACTACTCTGTCCACATTTTTCTTGAAGTGTGGGAACACAGTACTTCTGGCGAGACCTGGCCAGTGCTGAATAAAATGGAAAAATCACGTCCCTTGATTTGTAAGTGACACTCCTATTAATAAACCCAATCCACTGTTGTTTTTCTTTTTTGCAACAAGAGAACACTTTTGCAACAGTTTTTGGCTCATCTTCAGCTTATGGTCGACTCTAACCTCCAGGTCCTTCTCTGCAGTGCCACAAGTTAGCTGGTCATTTCCCCAGCCTGTATTTGTGCATGCAATTGTTCCATCACAAGAGAAGGACTTTGCACTTGTCCTTGTTAGATTTAATTTGGTTGATTTCCAACCATTTTTCGAGTTTATCAAGGTCAATCTAAATCCTGGCCTTATACTCCACAACAAATGCAACTCCATCCAACTTGGTATCATCTTCAAACCTTCTAAGCGTGCACTCAGTCCCATCCTCCGAATCAGTAATGAAGATGTTAAACAATACAGGACCCAGGACAGGGCTATGCAGATCC